ACGAAAAATAACAATGTATGGTGAGAGAGAGGGGCAATACATGTGCGGCAAGCGGGTAGAGGCAGATGAGGCTAGCCCGATCGATAATTTTCTCGCGTCTTTTTATTTTTCTAAAATGTTTTTTTACCATTTTTATAATTATCATTTTTTATCATTATTTATTTTGTTTTATTAATTTAAGTAAAATTATTTTATGTAAAGGAAATGTAGCGCTATTCATTTTCACACCAACTTACGGTAAATAGCCAGGTGCGTTTTTTTTTAAAGCAATTCTCCTGTAGACCTAATTCACTCTCATAATTTAATGCAGAAACTGTTCGAACTGGCTTCCTTGTTACTCAATGCACAATAATTCTGCCCTTCGTACAACATTGCGCGTCGCACGGTGCGCCATATCCGACATGATAATATTGAAGGCTGCGAGTATTGCTTCGCGTACTTCATCTTTTGTACTGTCACGCCGATGTTCTATCAAATTCTTAACATGACTCCGTACAACATAATCAAGAATATTAAGATCTGGCGACCATGCCGGTCAAGTGATTGGGCCACATCGATCTATCCATTTTTCCGGAAAAAGTGCGCTTAATATTCGCCGTGCCTGACACGAATAATGCGTAGGAACTTCATTATGCTGATAAATTAATTTTACTCATAAATGCAGAATGTTTTCGAGGAATATTGGCAACTTATTTTATAGGAACTCTGCGTAAATTTGTCCATTAATGTGGACGGAAGGAAGTATGAACCGATCTGAAATTCGCCGACGGACACAGCCGCGGGAGAAAAATTTCTTAACATATTACTTATCACTCTATTCCCGATTATTTCTATCTAGACATTAACCGACCAACAATATTAAAATGCGCTTTTGCAAACAGTGTATCAATTTTTTTCTTGTCACAATAACAATTTTTTAGAATTGAACGCGCTGTTTAGTTTAAAAGTGGCCGTGTGTGTCCATAAAATACAGTCTAGGAAATACAAATTCCGCCAACACAATGCGAGGAACTCTGTGATTGTTCTGCCCATAAATAATGTATGCTAAAAGCATCGCAAATAAAGATTATGAAAATACATTTACAAAAGTAGATGCACCTTCTTGATCTTTCGGAAGAAACTGTTGCACTCATTGATAGTGATACAAGTGTAATGATACAACGCGGATTGAAAAAAAGCAAACGCACAAGCGTATGGTGTACGCTATTGCTGAGATTTTTTTCAAATGCATGTAAGATGCGTTTTTTTCCATCGTTTACGCGAAATCGCTCTGATACATCACAATTTCGAAAACTTGGTAGGAAAATCCTGGCTTCTTCACACGTCGCATACATCTATTGATTACTTGTTTCGATTTTTACGCCCCTGATGACCAGGGCCCTGGTGCACTAAGGAGTGCAATGTTTTTGTTTTAAAAAAGTAAAGCATCGTATGCTATTGTTATGAGCTTTCTTATGTTAATTACGATCATCTTCTTTTCTTGCGAGAGATTGAAAGTTGTGTCTGTAAAACGTGTCTTTATCAATTATGGAGTTTACTAGCGAGGACTACTTTCAAATGATTGTGAGTTACGGGATGGCTGGAGAAAATATCCGTGCGGCAGCACGAAATTTCGCGGAGCGATTTCCGGGACGCGTAAGATATCCTTCAAGAAACGTTATCAATAGATGTGTGCTACGTGCAAGGGAGACAGGATCTCTCTTGCCAAATTTTCGAAATTGTGGTGCACCAGAGCATTTAAATGTAAATGATGAAGAGAGAATTTTGCGTGCGTTTGAGGAAAATCCTAGCAATAGCGTGCGCCACGCAGCTCGTGCACTCGATTTATCTCAATCCGCGGTGTATCGTACACTACGTCGAAACGAATTACGACCGTATCACTTTCAACGAGCGCAACAGCTTCTTCCAAGAGATCATGAACATCGCATCTATTTTTGTAAAGGTATTTTAATCATCTTTATTACACATTTGCTATGCTTTTAGCATTATTATTTATGAGCATAACATACAGGATTCCTTGCGCAATGTCGGCGGAATATTAATTTCCCAGACCGTATTTTATGGACGGACGAGGCCACATTCACGCCAAACGGCGTGTTTAATTCTAAAAATTTTCTACTGTGGCAAGAAGAAAATCCGCATGCCGTTCGCGAGGGCGCATTCCAATATCGTTGGTCAATTAATGTCTGGGCAGGAATAATCAGAAATAGAGTGATAAGTAGTACGTTAAGAAATTTTTTCCCGCGGCTGTCCCTAAATGTGTCCGTCGGCAAATTTCAGATCGGCCCACATTTTCTTCCGCCGCATCTTAATGGACAAATTTATGCGGAGTTCTTACAAAACGAGCTGCCAATACTTCTTGAAAACGTTCCTCTGCATGTACGCGCAGAATTAATTTATCAGCACGACGGAGCTCCAGCACATTATTCGCGCCAGGCACGACAAATATTAAACGCGCTTTTTCCGGAAAAGTGGATGGGTCGAGGTGGCCCAGTCACTTGGCCGACACGGTCGCCAGATCTTAATGTTCTTGATTATTTTGTATGGGGTCATATTAAGAATTTGGTAGAATATCGGCGTGACAGTACAGAAGATGTAGTACGCGAAGCAATACTCGCGGCTTTCAATACTATCACGCCGGACATGGCGCACCGTGCGACGCGCAATATTGTACGAAGGGCAGAATTGTGCATTGAGCAACAAGGAAGCCACTTCGAACAGTTTCCGCATTAAATTATGAGAGTGGATTAGATCTACAGGAGAAACCACTTTAAAAAAAACGCACCAGGCTATCTACCGCAAGGTGGTGCGGAAATGATAGCGCCACATTTCCTTCACATAAAATTATTTTATTTAAATTAATAAAACATTTTAAAAATAATAAAAGAAGCTTATTAATAAAAAAAAGAAAAATAAAAAGAACGCGAGAAAATTATCGATCTGTCCAGCCTCACGTGCCTCTGCCCGCTTGCTGCACATGTATTACCCCTCTCTCTCATCATACGTTGTTATTTTTCGTTGCCGTGCGATCGTCGTCGCTGTCATGCCTACAGCGTTGAGCTTACGGTCTAGCCGCGCACAACGTGCGATTATTCGTCAATCCTTTTTAATTAATATCTCTATTATTATTGCGAATATTGCAAAATGGTAAAGGACTTTTATGTTCAGTTTACCGTGCTCTACCCGCTCTTGAGCGTTGGCACGGACATTATGAAACACCCTGTATATATGTTTTGTATATCAATTGTACGATTCAAACGGCGCGCTTCCCCGGAATCACGTATGTATATTAAGGGTGCGTTCCACTTAACGTCCACAGCGCTCGCAACACCCGTTAACTCGTTCTACTTAACGACCGCGGTCGCTGTGGTCACACTTGAAACGTCATAGATGACGTCAATGATTGCGACCGCGTCGAGCTCACGACGCCCGTGGTTCAAACGTAGGTCGTCGTGATCTTAACCATTTTTGCGCGTGTTTTTAAACTAGAATGTTCGTAGTGTTTAACAGTGTTTGACAATGTCGTCGCAAATGATTCCTTTTTACAATACTGAAAGCGACACAGTTATAGAAGTAAATTTATCAGAAGAAGATGCCGTGGTCGTCTAATGCGTTCTACTAAAACTTTCGCTCGCGACATTTGCGAGCTAGTGGAACGCGTAATTTTGCGGTCGTGGTCGCGGTCGTTGCGGGCGTTAAGTGGAACGCACCCTAAGTAGCAAATCATCACGGAACACGTATCGCGATCGACGTGAATTCGTAAACAAGCGATATGTATCACAAGGGGGAGGCCGCGTAGGAGAGTGGGGATTTAGGCAGGTACGCCTCGGTAGACGAGCTTACCGAGAGAGAGAGACCTCGTTGAGAGTACGAGTAAAGTACCTGAATTTTGTATTTCCGTAATTTGGCATTAAATATATATATTACTCAGTATCCTAAAGTGATTAAGTTATTAAAGAACACAACAATATATATAAAAACATTGTGTTAAACGTTATTAAAAAATTTTAATAATAAAAATTAGTAATTGTTCACTTTATGTTACATCTCACTGATTTTTCTGCTGCTGAGATATGTAGGGAAGGTTTCTCTGAGCATATTCACTGAGCATATCCAAGAACTTTATAGAGGATGGCACTAGTTGCAAAGATATGACAAATTAAATTTTGACAGTTTTACTCTTAGGCTTGACAGCTTTCTCTTAGGTATACAATATATGCGTTTACAGATTTTTTAACTACCGTGTAGGCGAGGGAGGGTCAAGTCTTTACACCACTATCTCGAAAGAACTAACCTAATTTAACTTATTTTCGAAGGGTGAATGGGTCTTTAACCATGAGGGAAATCTAACATTTACTGAAATGTCAATGATTAGAGTGTGCTGCATGGAGGTTATTAGACCAATTTGCATTCTTGTATGTGTGTATTATTCATTATTACCAATTATTTATTCCGAGTAATATTTTACTTTTCAGAAATGGATTGGGTTAGGTTAGTCCTTTCGGGGCGAGGATACAGAGAAATTGTTATATTCCCTACCCATGCGATGATTAAAGCGTTGTACTTGTAAACAGACTTTCTAGTTAGAAGACGACAAACAGTTTAGTACGGCGTACACAAACTTTATTGTTCCTAATATTAGTTTGTAACACGTAAGAGAAAACATTAAAATTTTAATCTTTATTTTGTTATCTCTGCAACTAGTGCCGTCCACAAAGTTATCAAATTTACTCAGAAACTCCTCTGCAACATATCTCATTGTCAGCAGCAAAAGAATCAGTAAGATGTAATCTAAAGTGAACAATTACTAAAAAATTTTCTATGGCATAAGTTTTTCATGGATTAAATTTAAAATTTTAATTTATCAATTTAATCTAATTATTATACTTTTTTCTAATTTTTAATAAAAAATGCAACTCTCTGTGTAAATAGAACATTATATATTATGTTTATACAACAAATCAAATTTACTTCTTAACGAATACACTTTTACGAATTACCTTTCACATCCGGTTACGTGACAATTGGTAAGTTTTCCCTTCAAAGGGTTACTTTGGCCGCTGGTATTGAGTCGTTCAGGTTGCAAAATGTATAGATCTGTTTTCTTCTCACAAGAACGCAATTTTCGAGGATAATGAGCAGAAGTAGCCCGAGTAGTCGGCGGAGAGGCTGGTAATGCCGGTGCAATCGCCGGAAATCTCACATACACATTATTCTCGTCTAGTGTCGCTTCCTCCGTCGAATCGGCTGACGTCAGCGATTCGTAATCATGTATTTCTCCATCATCGGTGACTATCAAATTATCTGAAAAGATAAATGTAGTCTTAAATTAATTCTAGAAAAACAAGTTATTATAAAACAGATGTTTTTCAAGAAAATTGACATCCATATAAAAATTGTCTTTTATTTAAAACACATGCTTTTAATCCATATTCAAATAATTTATTTAACTAACTGTTACGTCTATGTCCTGCACGGTCTTTTCTTTGTGCAACTTTCCTATGATCGGTCGGCAAAATTCAAAGAGAATCTCGGAAACAGAAAATTTTCTGTTAAAAAAACCGAATACGCATACCCTTATCTAATGGTTCAATAAAGTAAAAAAATCCCTCGAAAATAGAAAATTTTGTTCTAATAAAGCCGAACGGGCACCCGTCTAGCACTTCAAGTTAGACGCAGAAACCGAAAATTTTTTTTCCAAAGATCGAATACGCACGAATACGCATAAAATTTTAACCTAAACTCTAATACCGCCATATATGGGCGAGACAAGCAACATCTGCTCAGGGTAAACAAAAGAGAAAAAAATTCAAAACGCGATGATAACAAAACTCTATATATAGGATGTCCAATTTTAAATGACGACCTCAAATATCTCTTACATAAAGCCTCTCTCTCCCTATCTTTCAATAGAGCCCAAGTCGATTTTTAAAATAAAACTCACCAATTTCTTATTGCTGATCCAGGTTTTACGTCTTCAATTCAAACAGTCTTGTGTTTTTAAAAGATTGATTAGATTTTTGTTCCTAATTATTAGTAAAATCATAACGTGAGTCAATCTTTATTGGGCCTAACATGGGACTTGGACTCAACATTCAATCTAATCATCAGATCGCCATCTCTAAACCTTAAAATACATAATTTTTTCTAGAATCCGTCATTTTTAAGATTGTATGTCCAAAAATCGACGTTTCGCAATGAATTACATAATAATAATTTCGAACAACGATTTGGGCCTATTGGAGAGGGTTTAGCAAAAAATGATCAAGAACAAAATCGTTTTATTTTGAGACATAGAATCTATATTGTAGTAAAAAATGGAGGTTTCCATTTTAAAAAATTTACTTGAACCTTACTGAGCTCGGACCTAAAATCTAATAAGATCATCTAATAGCCCCTTTATGAAACCTTCAACTTTTATATGAAACATTTTTCTTTAAAATGTATTCATGTGTTTAAGAGATATTTGAATTAAAAAAATATTTAAAAAATAAAAATATTAAAAAATATTTAAAAAATAA